AGGTTATGTGATTTATTTTCAAAAAGGAGGTAAAGGTATCGGTAGCAGCTTGTAAATCTTTGATTTTTTTGGTGAGTATAGTCATATTATCTATATATGCAAACACTTTGTCATCCTTCTTTAAAGTGCTTTGGATTCTGATTATTATTGGATCATAGAATATTATCCATAGAAGTGGGGCAATTGTTTCACCCTGGTTCAAACCTTGAGATACTATTACTGGATGTGTGATATTGTAGTGTAAGATAAATTATAATGATCGGTTTTGAAGCAGATTTGTGATGATTCTAATAAAGTTTTGTGGGATCTTAATCCTTTGCATGGCTGTTTCTAGGCTATTGAGGTTTACTGAGTTATAGGCTTTTGAGATATCAAAGGAAGCTAACTAGTATTTTTAATTGAGAAATGTAAAGGCATTAATTGATGATCTAATTATAGTGATAGGTTCTATTGTGCTCTGGTCCTTTATTCCTACATAATTGGATAAGAATAAGATATTGTTTTCACTGAGAATGGTTACTAGTCTTGTGTTGAGGATTTTTGTGAACACCTTGCGGTCTGTTTCCAGTAAGGCTATTAGTCTGGTGTCGGACAGGTTATGGAACCAAACCAGCTTCTTGGATAGGAGGGTGACAATTGATTACTTCCAGGCTTTTGATGGATTTCCTGTTCTTAATATATCATTAAAGATCTTGAGTAGGGCTTTGTGAGCTTCAGTTCCAATATGTTTCCAGGTTTCATAAGGAATTTTACTTCTTCAGGTGCTTTGTCAGTAGGAAAGAATGATATGGCTGTTTTTATTTCTGATAAAGAAATATCTGCTAGTAAGCTGTTGTATATATTATTTTGAATGTTTTTTCTGGAGAGATATTCTGATTTCCATAATTCATCAAGAATAAATTCTTTTGTTGATAAGAGTTATCTATAGTGTATGACGATGAATTCTGCTAGAATATCCGAATCATCCTGCAGTTGTGTTCCATCATATAGTATTGATAGATTGAGAGAGGGTATTATGTTTCTTAGGGCAATTTTAATATATCGGCTAGGGCTGCTCCAGAACTTGACAAAGTTTTCTTTCGCTGTTGCTTGTATATAGGCTTGCAATATTGAAGCTATTTGCTTTTGTTTTTCTATTATTAGTATTTTGAAGATTTTTCTGAGAGATTTATTGGTAGAAGGTGATTTTGTGACTTTCTTATATAGGGTTTTAGCCATTGATGTTAATTTTGTTGCGTGCTTGTTATCTCTTATACCTTTGAGAGCACTTTTTACTTATTTTATAACTTTATCCAATTTAGGAAAGAGTTTTCTTGGTTTGGTTGAACATTATGTTTTCTTTTTTGAGATTTTGTTTTCTAGGACTTTTTTGATTAACAGTTTTAAGGTTGACCACTTTGAATAGGGATCTAGATTTAGGTTGAGAGAAATCTCCTCTTCGAATGTATTCAGCTGTTCTATTGTAGCTTTGTTGAATAGATAAACTTTGGTGGAAAAACTGATACGTTGAGGTTTGTATTCAAACCATTTAAAGCAAATGGCTAATCTTCAGTTTAGGTGGTGCGATCATCACTATGACATCTCAGAGGGAAATGTGATTATCTTGAAAAATTATAATTCTGGCTGAAATTATAAATCTTAACTCTACCGGAACTATAATTAATGTTAACCAGAGTTAAAACTAATGTCAACCGGAATTATAAATTTAATGTCAGCCGAAATTATAAATCTTAATTTTACGAAATTATAAATCTAATGTTGACCAGAATTACAACTTATAAAAGTTTGGCAAACTCGCAAATTTAACATAAAGATTATCACATGATTAAAAGTTTGGCAAACTTTGTTCACCCCTAGGGCCCCTCAAGGGGCAACCACATCGTTGATGTGGGATGGATTTGTTTGAAGTTCCTTCATTACTTCAAACCCACTTTCGTTAAATCCTATCCTCTTAAACGCTTGTCAAGATCATGTGTTTATATTAACTTTATTTAATAATAAATAATACAAGTAAGAAAATATTAAATAAGAATTATTTTAAAAAAAATATAATCATGAATATATTCATTACGACTCATGAAATACAAAATTTCATTAGGATCTTGTCATTTTGATCTTTCCCTTTCATATTCATTTAATCTTCTTTGATAACTCTTCGTCCTCTTTCATACTAATATTTCGTATCATTAGACATGACTAAAAGTTTGGCAAACTTATGGATAAGCTTTCAACATTTCAAATACATAAATGGATAATTTTTATTTGATATAAACATATATAAAATTTGAAATTATAATGATTTAATGTAATAAACTAATCTTACTAGTTACTAAATCCACTTATAAATTTTAAATAACAATCATAAAGTGCTAACCTTATTTACATTAATATCACATACTTCTTGTGCTCAAGTTTTAATGAAATCGCCATTATAATTTCTTGCAGCATTAACAATACGATAAAGACAATTTAAATATCTTTTTGGGCTTATATGTAAAATATTACATATCTCTTTTTTACAAATATGAAGATCATTATAAAAAGGATAGCTTGAATAATCCCTTATTTTACTTAATCGCCAAGTTACATTTACCTTTGGCATAATAATTTTTGAATAATCCAAATTTAAAGATTTAACCAATGAAATTAAATCGGATTGAGAATCAGTTAATAATTCATTCGACGAATTATTTGATTCAGCATAATTCTCAAGAATAACTTGTCTCAAGAGTTGAGAATTTTTCATATAATTATCATAGATAGAAAATCTCATGATAACTCCAGTACCATTATTTCTTATGATATATATATGTGTTGGTTTACGTTTAGAATGATAATTCATCATGTTTACCAAAAAAAATACCTTTATCATATTTATATTAAATCAACCGTGCTATTTATAGAAATTAACTCAGATAACTTTAAATGGTTATCTATAATAAATTGATTATCAATATAATATTTTTAATTAATCATGTAATTCATGTAACATAAATCGAATAACTATATATGGATAACCTTAAATATAACCAGTGGTACGTAATGCATCAAGAAATCCCTTCCACAATTCATCTTCATTCCTATGTCACCAAATAAACTCCAATAGATGGTCATCAATAAGACCTTTGTTACGATTTCTAGGTTGAACTTTCAACTTAATACCACCCCAAGTCCCTTCTATAGTATTTGTATGTGCTCCTGTTTCAGGATCAACAAAACATTCATTATAATTTACAGTCATATGAGTAACTCCTAATTCTTCAAGATCTTTATATCCTCTTCAACAATCAGTCATTATTATAGATCCCGGTTTAACATATCTCACAATAATATCTCTAATAGTATCAGCATCTCTCTTTTCCACAACTCTCAAAAACATCTTTCTTTTATCATTACGTTCAATATCCCCAATTACCCATACACTATCAACCAATCAATCTTTATGATACTTTCAAACACTGAACTTTGATTCATCTATCTCTACGATCACATTTTCTCCACCTATAGCATCATTTTCATCTTCAAGAGTACTAACCACCAATTCATGAAACAATTGCATATATCTTGTGATTGTACCTGATGAATGACCACTAATCTTCGAAATAACTGTATGATCGGCTCCACATAACCAATAATAACCAATAAGCATCGCATTTGAACAACTAATATGACCACCTGAAAAGAATGAATCTTTGTATATTGATACAGATCCACGACATATATCACTATTACATCTAAAAAGTTTTCCATCTAATGAACTGAGGAATCACATTTAAAACAAGATTGAACCTTGTATAAAATATTTTCTTTGAATAAAAATTCAATACATTTATTTTTGTCATATAAAATTTCTGATATGGTTATTAAGATCGGGATTGACATTTTAAATATAAAAAATACATATGGTCACATCCCTTACATTTATAGATCTTTTCTTAGATCACGTGTATTGATCGTGGTCCTACAACCACATGGATGTCGATACTTTGAATAATAATTCAGAACTTTTGCCTTACAATGAAGCATCATAATTGCAAAAATTACAAAAATAATAATTGATCACATTTTTTTTATTGAAAGAAGAAAATAAAACATGTCTATTTATACAGGAACGAGAACACTATTTAACAATTGTCGAATAATATGTATCAACCTTGATAACCTAGCCACTGAAACAAAAACTACGATAAAAATTGAAAAATTTTCAGAAATAATTTTCTTGGTATCATCCAGCACATATTCAACAAATCAATCGGAATACATATCAATCAATTCGCTAACTTCAATAACTAACTTTTTAATTTCCTCATCTGTTGGTTTCTTTCTAAATCTATTAAATACCACTGAATTGCTAAATGATATATCGATACCAAGATTTCTTCCTACGTCACTCTTGAATTGAAAAGGATTTGTTTCAAATGCTATACAATATGATCTACTATATCTTTAGGTAAAAAATCTTTTTCACAAGATATACAACTAATATAACTAACTTCCGATTTGTCCTCAAATTTAAACCCATTTGTATTTTCGATAGATGTAGGTGGTAATTGTGATATATTTTCATGTAAACTCTTATCATTATCATTATTAGAATCATTATCATAATAACCGTTATCATCATTATCATATTAGGATCATTATTATTATAACCGTTATTATCATTATCATTATTTTCGATATTATTATCATGGTTATAATTATCGATACCATTATTCCTGTTCAGATCTTGATCTATACGAAAACGTCTATTAAAAAATTAATCAACAAATTCAAAAAATAATATATCATCAATTCTCACTTTTTATTCTCAGTAGTATCATCATTACCATCATCATAATTATCTCTGTTTCTTTTGAGCGAATCAATATCATCTCTTACACTTTTAATTATCGAATACATAATATTCATTGTGGATGCTATAGCTTGAGAATTTGTACTATTTAAATCAATATATCTAGTCACAGTGATAGTCTCCAATACTACGCTGGGTGGACCTCTCAAGTAACTATCAGATCACGTTCATGACCAATAGAATGCCTTTGAATTTCATCTGAATAATTTTTGTATCTCAAAATTCTATACGTTTCATCGAGATCATTAACTTGAATATAATAATAAAATCCGGTATTAAATCTAATATATCGATTTCCTTGAGCCATACTGGTTTGAGTTACACACTATTCTTTATCAATATTCCACAAATCATAGATATATATCTCCTGATCACAATCCACATACAGAATCTCATGAATCTTATCATACACCACAAAATAATTTTTTCTTATAGGACTATATACTAAATTATTCAAATCTTTAAATACTGTATCAGCAACCGGTCGTCTATTCTCCTTTACATTAGAAGTTGGAATCTCACAAGTCATAGATACATTAACTATTAGAGTTCTAACATGGAAGGTTGTCTTGATTGGATTAATTTTTATCTTATTATTCTTCTCCCCACCCTGATCGACTAACAAAAGAAGTGCAATCCGACTTGAACCAATCTCATTTCTATTTCCATATACCCTAATTCTCTAAAGAGAATAAAAATCTAACACGAACTTATTACATGTATTATTGTTTATTGGTATATCTTGAAATAACATATTTGAGATATAATACATTGAAGGCCAATATAGAAATGTCGATTTCTTTTCAGCACTAAGTGGCATATTATTGACATCTCATTGATCGAATACCTTTTGAATCACTGAATTGTATTTTCTTTTACTTTCTGACTTTGGTTTTACCCCGCAATGTTTCTTTAATTCAGATAACTCTGGAAAAATAGATGATCAAAAACTAGGTTGAGGTTGTTGAGAATGAGCCATTGTTCACAGTATGTATATTGGTATTCGTTGATTGGAAACAACAAGAACAATTCGAAAGACAAAAACCCTCTTTTCCAGGAAAACAATAAATACAGCTATAATTACACTTAATTTCAACCCTAGCAATAGTCATATTGGTCGAATTCGATGAAACCTTTTTCTTCCTAGTCACACTTGCTTTTTTTGTAATAGATTTAGTAGGTTTCTTCACCGATTTATCCTGTTTCTTTACACCCTGTTTCTTTACACCCTGTTTCTTTGGAGCACCTTGTTTCTTCGGTCGACTGCAAGAACTCTTAGTTGATGCCAGATTATATTAAACCCTCAATATGATTGTTCAATAATGTAAAAATTTTTTTTGCAAATAATGTCAACACCTGTTGGATATGTTGAATAGAAATAAGACCTTTACTAATTTGTGTAACATATATTATAACAATGAATAGTAAAAAACAATACTCGAACATAAAAAGTATAATCAATAAATCAAGGATATGATCTCGGTTCATTTATTTTTTTTAAAAACATCACGAACCAACTCTATATTTATACATTTTTTAAAAACTATACCATAGAAGATGCATCCTTACTAATACGAACTATTCTCTCTATCTTTGACCTCAAGGTCTCATCAATCGAATAACTTTCTCCAAAATTTGTCAATATCTCATTAACCTTTTTATTGATAAAATTAATTTCCCCCCATAAACCACGAATCATTGATGTAATATAAATTACCTCGGAAGATGAAGTTGAAGGTACGGACGACATCTTATTTGATAGCTTTTACCTCTGCACTCACTTTAACAATCTTTCCCATCTTGGTCTCAAACGTATCTTCCGTTTTTATCTTGACACCGAGATTATTTAATATATCATTTGCTTGTTTTTCTGCTGCAACAATCCTTGGATTATTATTTGTTAGCACAGTATTCTCAGTTCTCAACTTTGCAATTAAAGCATTAATACAATTAACTTCTGTTGATATCAAGGTTGACATATTTTTTGAATATCATAAAATATCATATCTATATACAGTATACCTGAAAATTGTTTACGATTGTTCCACTTATCGACTGCCATCTTGAAAGAATCAGTATGACTTATATCAAGATTAATAGATGCTATCTTACGCATCTCAGTGCTCAAAAATTTATTATATTCTGTTTTTGCACGTTTTCTTTTTGGTCTCCTGATAATCTCATCTTCATCCGATGAATCAATAGTACAATGTAACTTGCATAAATCCTTATACTTCATCAATTCATCCACAAACTTTTTTCTTTTTTTAGGATCATTGTACATCATATGAACAATATCAAGATTAATAATTATGGTCCCCATCTTTATTGAACCCAAATAAAATACATGATCTATTTATATCATTTTGGAAATAGAACATCATAAGTGACCTTGAGAAATATGGAGGTAAACACAAACACCTCATGAAAAAATGTAAATGATAAAATTGCAATGAACCTTATGATAATAATAATTTCTCGTAAATGATGTAGAATAAGAAGATTCACAATAACATAGATCTACGTATTGGAAGTATTATCAATAAATGCGATGAAAATAACATAAAAAACCCTAAAAATATTATCGATACTGAAAATTTGCATATTGAATATTCGTCGATCGACATACATCCACAAAAGACCAAAGAAAACAAATTGAGGTGAAACATATGATATAGACCTTGTAAAGAACCTATGATTGAACATGTTAATAAAATATAACAATTTATCATCGATAACAATGTCACTTACTCAAAATTCATCTTTATTATATTGATTCAAAAAAAATATATTGACCAATCACAAAAATCTTGATCAAAAATATAAAAAATAATAAAGAAATAAACATCTTTATAAAAAATTTGAAATTTTTAAAAATAAAAAATGATAACAAGATAAGAATTGAAAGTACAATAAGTACTACAACTCCAAACGCCATCAACAGGTATGCCCTGAATATAGAAAAATTACAACTCATTGTCATATTGTGATAATCAGATGTATAACATCTCCAAATAAACAGTGGTACAGAAAATTTGATAACTGTCGATATGAAATAAATAATTCGATAAAATATATTTGAAAATTCTCCATCAATAGGCCCTGCATGATATGTTTCTGGTACAACGAAGTCTGTATCCTTGTCTTTTAAATGTTTTAACTCTTCTTCTAATCGTTCAATATTTGTTAATAATTCAGTATTAACATCATGAAGTCGCATATTTTCATCAGCGAGAATTTTATTATCCTTTTCCAATTTGTCCATTTTCTCTCTTATACGTTCCAAAGTTGACATTTTTTTAGAGGCAACGCTAACATTTGCATTTATATATCTAATATACAATCAGATAACATTACACAATCGTTGATTATATCACCCCTAGGGCCTCTTAAGGGGCAACCACATCGTCGATGTGGAACGATTTTACTCATGATGTCTATGGACATAATAAGCACGTGTTCACTAAAATCTATCCTCTCAAACATTTGGCAAGATCATATGTTTTTACATATGAAATTATATTTTATATCGAACCCATAGTTTGACAAACTCTTCTTCAATAACAATGATTTACATTTTCAAAAAAAAAACGATTTATATTTTTCTAAAGTTTGGCAAACTCTCTTTTATTCCAAAAAAAAAAATAACGATAAGTTACCTTTAAATTTATTTTTTTTTGCTTCTCTTGATTTCTCAAATAGGAATACTCGCTCTTTTTATATTTTTTTAGGATCTAAAACTATATAAATAGACGTTCCATACCATAACACGAATCAATAATATGAATTTCAAAAAATTACTCTTATCTTTTATGTTATTTTTATATCTCACATTATTTGTCTTAGCAGTTAGACGTCCTAATCCCAGAAGACCAGTAACCCAACAAAATTGATATAATCTTTGATCTGGAACTCAAAGACAGCCTCCACCAGCACCACCACAACCAAGAGGTCGATCGAGAGCACCAAGAGCACCAGCAGCACCAAGAATACCAATAGTTCAAGTAGTTGTACACCTACAACCACAACCTGTTGCCAATGTTTTACCCAACCTATGGACGATGAATAAATGAGGTAATCATGTTCCAATACTCAATAGCAATGGTCAAATGACAAGACGATACAATAATGGAATTTATTTACACGAGATTGATTTGAATAGAAATCAACAAATGACACCCGTTCACAAAACAGGAGACAATATCATGCGTAATCCCCATCTCATAACTGGTCAATTTCCCAATGTACAACAACCCAATCAATTACCAGGTTTATATACAATTAAGGCAAATAGAGGTGAAAGAACCGACAGATATGTTCTGATCCTCAACGAACGAGGAGGACTTACATGAAGATATAATAGTGATATATTCTTACTAAGAAATGGTTTATATGAGGCTATTCATAAGCTCACACAAAACAATTGGGTACAACCACCACGACCAAGAGGTCAACCATGAAGACAGATACAAGTTGTATAATTTGTATTTATTATATTTGTATCAAATAAAGATCAAAATTCTGCATCGAATAAAATTTTTTTATCACTATAACGACTACTGCTATACTCAGATACATGTTTACTAAAAAATTCTGACTTCCCTTGCAGTGAAATATTTTCTATAAATTCGAATGGATTATCTACATTATATTTTTTTTGATAACCTAAATCTACCAACAATCTATCTGCCACATACTTTGTGTATTTGACCAATGAAGACTTGTTCATACCTAATAATTCTATCGGCAAAACTTCTTTCCAAAAATCTTGCTCAATTTCGATAGCTTCATGAAAAATCTTATTGATTATACCATCATCAGGATGATCGAAATAATTAAAGAATCTACATGCAAACTAACAATGAAGCCCTTTATTATGTGAAATAAATTCATTAGCATGGAAAAGTCCTGGCATCAATCCCTTCTTTTTTAACCAATAGATAACAGCAAAGGCACTAGAAAAGAATACCCCTTCCATAATCGCAAATGCGACAAGTCTCTCAGAAATCAGTTTCTCATTCTTGTCCAATTCTGAGTCCATCGGCTCATAAATCATTCTACAATATTCTCATTTACAATACCATCAGCTGTTGCAAAGAATGACAAAATCTTTGAGATAAAACTTCTCTCATCATCACTTAATCTCTTATTCCAATCGGTTAAATCATGTGTTAAGTCTACTTTTTCGGCAACCCAGTAAACTTCTTGTGCTTGCTTATAAAGTTCCCATAAATCCTTATGATGAATAGAAAAAAGTATGAATCTAGAATTATCAGATTCACTTATGATTTTAATTCTCTTACTCGTCTCAATGATCGAATCAGAAGATCGCTTCATTTTTCTTTTACAAATTGACAAAATTACATAATATTTTATATTATCACTGACCACAAATCATGATAACTATTTACGGTTATCCAAAGTTAACCCTTTATAGTTATTCACAGGATAAATAATACTTTATGTATAAATACCTATTGTATTCTCAAATAGATAATTAATGTCAAAAAAAAAAAGTGAAATCGATTTCTTTAATCTTCTTCCCAATGAATTGATCATCATGATATTCTTGCATTGCGAAAGCTTCAAAGACCAATTACATCTCGGTAAAACAAACTGACTATATCATAAATTATTCATGTCCATCATTCCAAAAATGGTCACCTTTTTTATACTACCGAAATTTCGTCAAATCCCAAACACACATGAAATTATCAATTTTGAAAAAGAAAAAAAATATACATTTGTTACTTTTCATAAAAAATATACAACATGTACTAGATATGTATATGGAGATTGTCAATATGATCACAAACCTGTCAGACGAATATTAAAACATACAAGAACAAGTACCCTTCTAATTAGAAAAGGTACTCCATATTGTTATACCCCTGACTCATCGAAAAAAGTATATTGTATCACAAAGGAAAAATTAGAAAAGAATCATAAATCTATATGTACAAAATGCAACATATCATAATTTTGTAAAAATATATGTATTATTAATGGTTGTTACAATATTCCTACATGTACAAACAGTCTCACGGGAACTCATAACATATTTGGATTTATGGGTAGAAATCACGTACACTTTCACGAATTATGTAAAAATTGTTATGATAGTATTTCCAAAAATATTTGGACCAATCTAACTATTAACGATCAATGGTAATCAATAAAATATAATATCATAAAAACCAAAACTTTATTTGAACTTAATAATATTTACTCAAAATACAAATATATGAATATTTCAAATTGTAAATAAAATCTGATTATAAAATAATAATAATAAATTATAAAAAAAAATAAAAAAAAGTGAGGATTGATTAATGTTACATTTTAAGGATCTTTTTATCGATATTAATTAATTCATCGATTCCAAATTGATGTATATTTTGAGCGACTCTCAAGTTACTTCTACTCATTATACTATTGTAATTTTGCATATTTTTTTTTTAAAATTGTCTTCAGCTTTTTTAAGGTGGTCCGGAATCTCCAACTGTTTGTCAAAGTCACCAGAAAATTTTGGAACATTATTTTCGATTTTAGAAAAAGTGACTTGTTTGAGAAGCTCTATTCTTGTTTTTCTATTAATTCCCTTAAATAGATCTGCATCAGAACCAGAAGGATTTTTGAGATAAAGTATAGAAAGCATAAATTGCGACTATTCATCTTGCAATTTATTAGTGTTGCAATAATGAGCAACACTGTTTATAGCATAAAAATAATTTACTTCTTGATTGGACATTTTGTTTTTTTTTAATGAACTAAAGGTAGCTAATTCTTCCTTTTATAACTTGGAAATATTGAAAAATTTCTATCATTAAGTACAAATATAGTAAAACAATCAAATACAAAATTTATTATTCTTTTTGTAAAGTGTTTGTGAATTCTATAAAACAATGCAATATAAATTTTATTAATTATTGTTCATAAAGTTTTGATTATTCATGAAAGAACCATCACAATTAAACAATTTAAAAATCTTGTTAATGTATGGATGTTTGATATTATTCTTTTTGTAAATTGTTCATAAATTCTGCAAATAATTTGATACAAATTTTATTAATTATTATCCATAGAGTCTCAATTAGTCATAAAAAAACCATCACAATAAAACAATTCAAAGATCTTAATGTGGCAAGCTTGGTGTTATATTTTTGATACATATTATTCTTTAAAGTGATTGTGATCTTACAAAAAATAAAAAATTAGTCAGCTTTAATCGAATATGTTTTACATGAAATGAGCATGCTATAGAATTGAATGTATATAATAAATAAAATGCTTTCGTAAAATTTATTATTCTTCAAAATCTTTATCAGAATGTATATACATTCCAAATTCTACGCTATTCTCTCTAACTATTTTGGCTTCATCCAAACTAATATTCATATCCTCGGATATCAATCTAAACGAAACCTCAGGCATGAGAACCTCTTCGATATAACTTCTCATTCCCAAGGGTCTAAATCTAATACTATCTGAACCCTTGAAAATATTTATAAGTTTTGTCATAATAACCTCCATACCCTTTGGACCAAATAACCAGGCTATAAAACAAAAGTGGATTAGTTATATGAATAAATACCTCCTTAATTAATAAAACTACATACCATAAAATCTGTGAATCTTCCCATAAGAACCATTGGTAATTCAGCACATCTTCCAATTTGTCCACATACCTCCTTTGCATACTCGAGTTGAGTACTATATACAGTTCCATCAATTATGCTATTCAAAATATCAATCATTCCTTCAATCCATGCAGAGATCTTATCGAACTCGATATCTATGAGGTATCCCTTGGACTTACCATCTGGAATCGTTTCCAACTCTCCCTTATATAAAAAACAAAAATTATCCATAGTAAGAGAATCAACCTTTCTTGTTGCCGCAAAGATCAAGATATTGGAAGGAATTGATTGAGGAAAAGTATAATCGCAACATTTACATCGAATTATCCCTAAAATAAACTGATTAATAATAACATTGATAAATAAATAATCAATCAATCACAAACTAACCATCTTCCACGGTAATAAAATAATTATCGGAAATATTAGTCGAATCTGATACTATCACTCTTTTGATCACTTCCATTTTTCTTATAATATAATCATGAAGCCCTTTTTCAGAGGATTTATAAAAATGATGTACCGATATTTTTGCTCTATAGAATCCCGGACCAATAAGTTTGGCACAAAGTATAACCTTGTTTCCAGCAGACACATACACCTGACGAGACATAGTTATGTTGTTATTAGATAATACATCTTGCAGATACTTCAAATCGACCTTTCTGAGATGGATAGTGAGAAATGTGAACATCGCATAATCAAGACAAATATTTCCATCTTCCTTGAGTTTCTTACAAAGATGATCATACTCTGACTTTACAGCTGAAATATCGAGACCCTGAAAAGATTCTTTTAAGATTTCAAACTCATCATCCATGATATTCCCTCAGTTCTTGATCATATCATCGATAATTTTCAGGTACTCAGTTCCCTCAAATCCAAAACGAAACTTCTTCATTGATATCTTCTCATCATTATCACCATCCACCCTTTTACGCTTATTCTTCTCTAAACCTGTGAAGGAAGTTAAACCAATCTTACCGATACTGTAAGTGTGCCCTTGATTCGAAACATATATGATTCCATCCTTCTTTGTTAATGAAAATTCACCATCGAAGGAATCTAGGACATTCAAGATACCAGCGAAAGAATCCTCATAGATATTTGTCCCTTTTGAAATCTCACTACCATTTATATGATTCATTGTTCAGGTGGATCAAAGGATTTGGCAAACTCATGGTTTGCCAAACCTATATATAACAAATGCACATGCATATACAACAGTGGGTGTATGTATGTATTATGTCATGAGATAATCATGAAACAATACATAAATGAATGACTGTAGGCATATATATGTATCACGTCATGAGAACAATATATATGTACGTATGATCATAATCATCAACATACATGATGATTATAACATTGAATTAAAAATAGATATCATAATGATTACATAATTAACAAATTATATTGCAATCCATATATCACTTAATGTAAATATGTCATCATATTTTTTTTTGATTTAAATACACCATTCTTGTCAATCATATCAATAAACTTTTTCTAACCTAAAATAGTAATAGCATACACTCATTTTGCATTTACTCAAAAATTTTCTGATTTTTTTTCTTCGATTTTTTTTTTCGATTTTTTTTTCTCAAAAAAATTTGAATATATATAAACTGACTAAATGTATTTTAATCATTAGTCAATCAAAATATGGAATCCATCAATGAAACTCCATTTACCCTGAACTATTCAAATTCCATCAAGATTGAGGAAATAACATCTGAACAACTCGATGAAGAAAATGCTAAACTTTGATTCATTCGAGAAAAGATTGATCAATGTATTCAAATCATCAATAGAGAGAAAAATAAACATAAAGTTAAAAGAACACGTGCTCAATTACAAGCACGTATAGATTTATTGGATCATTATTAATAAAGAGAATATATTCTCCATCAATTCTTAATTTGATCACTTGATATTTATCTTTCCAAAACTTTCGATTAAAGTATCTATATGTTGCGCATGTTGCATCTGTCTACTACTTGTACAATTACAATTTAGTCTCAAATCTACATATCGAGAGACTCGTTGTACTAACCTTCTGAAATTTTCTATATCAAGAAAGCATGATTTTCCCAATAAACTATGTGTCACTGTCCCACTTCTAATGATAATACCAGAGTTATCAAGATCTATAGTAATGTTATAATTCCTAATATCGATGTCCTTTATAATTTCCTCAATAATCATACAATATAAAGTCATCTATATCTATAAATCAAAAAGTTAGTTACACATAGATAATTAATAAACAACAAAAATCGTACCTTATAATTATCAAATATCTTGTTATATCTTGAAGCTTTCACATTCAATACCCTCACAGAAATATTTCTATGGATGTGATCAACCAATACACAAATAAAGTCAGGAATAATAAACTCAATAATATAATTCATGATCGAATATTTTTTAAAAAATGACTTAGGGACCATAAGTTCAGTTGAGAATATACAAATATATCACCCGTCGCGCCCAGAATATCTCCTAATTGTTCCTTTAAATTGATCGATATACATGTACAATCTATCTTTATCATCCCATTAAATTCTGGATATGTATTAAAAAATTCACCTTCTAATGGGCTCATAATACGTTTGTATCTATCAATATTAATTCCACCACCTCTTTTGAATGCCTTGTAAATTCCCATATCACAATTATAATATTCTATACATAATGCGATATCAGACACACTTATATAAGGTAATTGTGATAATTCATGATCCCTTCTCTTTTCTTTTAACTGATTGATATCATTTTTATAACTCTCAAGAAGTCTTTTGAATTCTTTAGCAATTATCGAAAATGTCAATATTTTTTCATCCATCATTAGGAGTAAACCAAAAGAAAAAGGTTCATTTATATAATTTATTCAAATTCATAATCACGCTCTGGTACAAAATACTTTACAATCTTTGTCTGTTGACTTTCCTTGGCAACACCAACTCTATGTTTTCTAATATTTTTAACTGGTAAAGAAATGAATCTCGTGATATCATAATTTATCCTATCATTGATCGATCTGATATATTCTCACAAATATTTCTCTGCCTTCTTTTGTGATAACTTATCACATGTCTCATAATCCTTTTCATTTGTTTGAAATTGATCGTAATAATTGATCATTCTTCTCAACATAGTGATAACAGTTTTCAAATAATACTTCTCATCAATTTTTATCTTATCCAAATTAAAATACTTAATGAGTACCATTTTTTGGTGAATCTTGGCATTCTTGTCAGGATATCGAATGATATAATAATCAAATCACTCACCATCTTTGATATCTATACCTCTCCTTTTTATACGATTGACAAATTCTTTTACCGAAATATTATTCTTTGATGACTTGTATGTGGCTGACATTGCATATATATCGGTATCAACATGACTTTCATGCATACACATCTCAATAACAGACTTAACCGTGTCAAGTGGATCAAGATAATTATCAACACACATCACCTCCTTCATCACTCGTTCACAGATATAACGTGAATACTTTGCATGCCCTTTCTTGTTCACGTCAATTCCCCGAACAAATAAATTTCTTGGACGAAAGTTAACCATATCCACGTGAGGAATTCCAAAATACTTTTTCTTTCCGGTAAACATCACCGGGAAAAGAACCTCCTCATATGACATACTCAGGAATCGTGTTCCATTATCCACGAATAAATATTCATTCACCTTTTCTCGCAAATCGCCCATCACTTTCATCGTAATCTTTACCATATCTGTCCAATACTCTTCCTTGGTCCTTTTTTTCAGCATATAATCATTATCACATTCTGAATAAAAACTATCTGGGCAAGTTAAGTACAAAGAATCGGTATCGCCATATTGAACTTCGAAACCTAACCCTTTAACATATTCTGCAACCCTCTTGATATTATACTGACCCATGGACGTAACACCTCCAGCCAACTCTCTCATGAAAAATGGTGATAAGGAATTACCCGTCTCCCCGTAAAAACTATTCATATATTTTTTGAATGCCAATTGAAGAAGATTCACCTGATCACGTTGAAAACTTAAATCATCGTATTCTTTATCATATTCATCACCCAATCTCTTTCTTTCCAATATCTTTTCTAATCCTTTTAACCTAACTTTCATCTCATTACGTTTATCTTTGAGATATCTTTGAACAATAACATACAATCCCATCTCATCTTCGTGATTGCTGTGTTTTACTGACCATGCTTTCATCTCTCGCTCATTGAACATAAATCTAATCTCATTAACCTCGTACCCTATAGATATATATTTCTGATAGTCTTCTGAATCGAGAATCATTTTTTCTGGTGATAAATTATAGGTCATCATAAGACTTGGATATAGTGAAGCAAAATCTAATCCAGTAACTGGTCTCGTATTATTCAAACCCTTCTTCGGTTCTACAACATAACCACCTGGATAACTCCCATCCTCTACACCTTCATCCCTAATCATCGTGATCAAGATATTCAAATCTTTTGATGTACAACCTAAGAGGTTACATACTTTCACACCTCCGGCATAACAATACGAATCAAATAGAGATACGTATGATATACCTGATTCATTCATATATGTATTAATCACATTTCCTTTCAACAGTAGATCATGACACCTCTTCGAATCTATCATGCAATACCTCGCAATCTCACACATATTACTTCGAGACTCATCGAAAGAAGTGATATTATTTTTAGTATCATGATAATACCTTCTTAAGGTTAAATATGGAAGATCAATCTTTCCCTCCAAATTTGAGATCTCCAAATAATAA